TGGTCATGGGCAAGAGTATAATACATTTTCTCTAAATTCTTGGTATTTTCTTTGGACAGTGAAAAATGTTACTTGATAATATTTGCATTTTAAGCATTCAATGATTTAATATTCATATTTTAGGGACCCAATGGTTATGTTATATCAAGAGCTGTATTAGCTCAACGTGCACGACGAGAACGTGAAAGAAATGAAAATGCATGCTCTGCATATCAATCGAGACACCGCTTGCCACAAGAACGAGAGAGATTAGGAGCATATGTTAAAGACTTTCCTTCATTAACATCGAGTCGTCGCAGTCATGCTTGCCTAGAACAGGGTACCAAGACACTTGCGGATACTTCGTTGGCACAAAAGCGAACAATGGTTACACATGCATCCACATGTTCGTTCTCTATGGAAAGTACATCTTTAGCTCGGAATTGGTAAAACATGTTTAATTCTTTAAATAATACTCTTACTTTTACATGTGTATAAATTTTAATTTATGCACAACAAATATTTGTAGGCCTAATTCTACAGTCACATTTCTTCAAGAGGATCTATGTACAAATGATGAATTAGAAGATATGATTTTAAGTACTGCGATTAATACTCAATCACACATGAATTCATGTCGTCATTCTCTCGGCAAGATGGATGTGTTATGTCCTTACTGTTCAGCCTTACATTGGATGGACGAAAAATTAGCACAATCATCTCGAAAGCGTCCCCTATTTGGAACTTGCTGTTCAAAAGGAAAGACTAGGCTACCTCTGCTTATGACACCCCCTCCACCGCTTCAAGCATTATATGATGGGGATGATGATCAAGCAAGATCGTTTCGACGTTATACTCGAGTATACAATGCAGCCAATGCTTTTACAAGTCTTGGTGCTACATTGGATCCAAGAGTACTAAGGGGAAGCGGCCCTAAACCATTTATTATCCATGGGGAATTGCGACATCGAACAGGATCACTTCTACCACAGCCAGGTCAGGATGCGACTTATGCTCAGTTGTACATTTATGATCCTGATTCAGCTTTAGAAGTTCGAAATCGTAGAAATCCTCACTTACAAAGGGATGTTCTCAAAACTATTCAAGATAGTTTGTTGCAAGTTAATGCATTTGTAGACAAATTTCGCCAGGCTCATGCAATTTTGAATCAATTAGCCTTCGCTGGACAAAATCTACCTGCTCATCTTCACTATAGTTCAGCAACAGACCGACGACGGTATAACCTACCAACTGCTGATGAAATTGCAATTGTGATACCAGGTGATGGAACTGAGGTTACTGGGATGAGAGATGTTGTTTTACATCTACAGGGAAATAATGAACTGATGCAAATTAATGAATGTCATCCAGTGTATTTGCCATTGCATTATGTTTTATTATTCCCGTATGGTGAGCTCGGATGGGAACCTGAGTTGAAATTGTGGGACGTTAAACATGATCGGCCTTCAACTGATCGACTTACTCAAATGGATTTTTATAGTTACCGTTTGTTTGAGCGATCTACAGAGTATTCAACAATTTTGAGAGGTGGAAAACTATTCCAAGAGTTTTTGGTAGATGCTTGGGCTGCAACTGAGCAAAATCGATTGACGTATTACAAGCTTAATCAAAAAAAAATTCGGGCTGAACTTTACCAAGATTTAAGCGATATTGATCCAGATGACTTGCAACCTAATCAAATTGGTCAAAGGTTTATTTTGCCATCTTCATTTACTGGTAGTCCTAGACATATGTTTGAAATCTTTCAAGATTCAATGGCTATCACGCGATACAACCAGCACCCAGATATTTTTCTCACCATGACTGCAAATCCCAATTGGCCAGAAATTACTTCAGCATTAGTACCACACCAAAAAGCTATTGATTGTCCGGATTTGATTGCCCGTGTTTTTGAGCTAAAAAGAAAGTGTTTGATGAAGGAGATAGAGACAAACAAAGTGTTCGGTAATAAAGTTGCGCATGTTTTTACAATTGAATTCCAAAAACCAGGCCTACCACATATGTATGCGCTTTTCTTTCTTAAAGGTCCAGACAAAATTCGAACATGTGCTCAATTAGACAAATTAGTTTGTGCAGAATTTCCAGATCCAAAAGATGATCCTACACTTTTTGAAACTGTCAAGTGTTGCATGGTGCATGGACCATGTGGTGCTCGAAATCCCCAAGCACCATGTACGGAAAATGGTAGATGTACTAAGAAATACCCTCGAGCCTTTGCAGAATCAACAACTATGGACCAAGATGGATATCCAATCTATCGTCGTTGCAATAGTGGTCAAGTATATACCGTGAGAGGACAAGAAGTTGATAATAAGGATGTGGTACCATACAATGCATATCTTTCTAAACGGTTCAACTGTCATATAAATGTAGAAGTTTGTGCTGGAGTGAGATGTGTTAAGTATATACATAAGTATATTTACAAAGGTTATGATCGCACAACAATGGTTTTGGGATTGATTAATGAGATCCAACAATATCTTGATGCAAGGTATATTGGACCACCAGAAGTTGCTTGGCGAATATTCGGTCATCATTTGCATGCAGAGATGCCAACAGTTGTTCGCTTGGCACTTCATCTACCTGGAATGCATCGTGTTCTTTTCAATCCTAATGACTCATTGGAAATGATTCTTTCTAGAGCTGCGCAACAAAAATTGACTCTTATTGGCTTTTTTGATTATTGTGCTTCCAATGAAAATAAATGCCAATTCACTTACCAAGAATTTTCGCAACATTTTGTTTGGCTCAAGTCAGAACATAGATGGAAACCAAGAGAACATGGATATGCAATTGGTAGAATGTACTTTGCTAGCCCTAACTGTGGTGAAAGATTTTATCTGCGTTTGTTGTTAACTGTTGTCAAAGGGCCAAGATCGTTTCAATGTTTACATACAGTTAACAATGTTTTGCATGAGACGTTTAAATCAGCATGTGTTGCCAGAGGACTCTTAGAAGATGATGAAGAATGGATACAGTGCCTGAAAGAGGCTGCAGTTATGAAAACCGGATATCAATTGAGGAGATTGTTTTGTATTTTTCTGACCCAATGTTTTTCACTACAACCACATGCGTTATGGAATCAATTTTCAATGCATATCTGTGATGATCTTGCACATAAGCTTCGTACATTGTTTGCCATTTCTAACCCAACTGAGGCTCAAATTGAAGATTATGGTTTGTATCTTTTGAATCAAATGCTTGAAGAATCAGGAAAGAGTTTAATTGACTTCCCGCCCATGCCACAACCTACAGCAAATTGGAGTGCAACAGTTAGTAACCGATTGATATTCGAACATCAACAACTACATAATGAGGCACAACAGACAGATGTGCAAATTACTATTGATCGCCTCAATAATGGACAACGAACTGCTTATAACGCAATCACTTCTTCAGTCTTTGAAAGTAAAGGGACTATTTTCTTTTTGAATGACGGTGCTGGAACGGGAAAAACATTTTTGTACAATACGATTGCATTAAAATGTCGCAGCCTTGGCCATATTGTTGTTGCCGTGGCTTCATCTGGAATTGCATCATTGCTATTAGTAGGAGGTCGTACTGCACATTCAACATTTTCCATTCCATTGGATGTCTTGGAAAATTCAGTTTGTGAGTTTAGCAAGCAATCATTACAGGCTGAATTGTTTAGAGAAACAAAACTCATAATTTGGGATGAAGTTCCTATGCAACATAGACATTGTGTTGAGGCGGTTGATCGCACACTTCGAGATATTTGTGATTGTGAAAAGCCATTTGAGGGTATCACTGTTGTTCTTGGTGGAGACTTTCGACAAATCTTACCAGTTATAACTAAAGGAGTTCGTGAGCAAATTGTGAATGCATCATTGAGACACTCTGTTTTGTGGAAGGATCTACATGTTTTATCTTTAGATTTGAATATGCGCTTGAATCATGCAAACCTTGGAAATGCTATTTTTGCAAAATTCTTGACAGAGGTAATACTCATTCGAACTTTGATTATACCATTTGAGGATACTTTGATTATACCATTTTTTTAAATTTATTTTATTTTATTTATTAGGTTGGAACCAATCCGCAAGAAATCATTAAAATTCCATCAACAATACACAGATGCCAGAATCTAAAGGAATTACTCTCAGCAGTTTATCCACAATTGGATGTGGCAGATACATCAACCCCATCATTCTTAACGGAACGTACAATTCTTTCTGCACGAAATGATGATGTCAGTGCTATCAATATTGTTGCGTTGAATATTTTTCCAGGGAATACATATACGTATCTTGCTACAGATAAGATGGCTGAAGATGATGAAATTGATCCTTCCATTGCAAACAGATATAAATTCATTGGATCCTCCTGGGCTACCAGTTTTTAAGGTAGAGTTGAAAGTGGGTTGTCCTATAATGTTATTAAGAAACATTGCACCGAAAGATGGACTGTGTAATGGTACAAGATTAATGGTATCAAGGTGCAACACTCGCATAATTGAAGCTCGAATCTTAACTGGAGAGAAGTTTGGCAATTTGGCATTTATACCAAGGATATCATTGACTCCGTCTTCTGCAGAAATGCCTTTCCGAATGACAAGATGTCAATTTCCAGTTCGATTGGCGTATGCTTTGACCATTAACAAATCTCAAGGACAATCTGTGAAATTTGTTGGGGTTGATTTGCGTACACCTGTTTTTAGTCATGGGCAACTATACGTGGCATTATCCAGATGCACATCTTTCGATCGTATAAGTATCCTCCTCCCTAATGATGAGCCAGATTCCACTACAAATATTGTTTACCCTGAAGTTTTGTTATGAAGACCTTTCAGAAATTGATGAGACGTTCGTAAGAATTGTGGGAAAGAACAAATTTGAAGACATTATCAAACACATATTTTTGTAAAATATATACATTTTGTAAAGCAGACGATAGCTATGACCCACTTTTTGTAAAGCTTTCCACCTATGTGGACTTTGTTGCATTTCAAATATTTTTGTGAAGCCTTTTATTCCCCTATATTTTTGCATTTCCAGTATAGCTAAGTTTGATTTAAGAGTGTTGACTTGATCTTTTACAATTGAGTTATTACTTTGGACATGTCAGTTGTCACTACTTTGTATACACTTTTTTTTTTTTTCCTTTTTGTATAAAATTATGTTCTCTTTTATTTTTATAGGATGATGGAGATTTGCACCAAACTGTTATATGGTGTAGACACCCCATTTTTGACCGTCCTCAAGACTTGGACGTCACCGTTTGAACACTTGGTGATCATCCATGTTTGTGTTCGCTTGGAGTTCCCAGAGGTCTCGGCTACGCGCCCTGCCTCAGAATCTCCGAACTCGACCGTTTTGTGTCTGGTTTTGCACCAAATACTTGTGTTTTTCCTTGGAGGGGCAGGGAATGCCTTGTGAGGCATCCCCACACACCACCGGCAGTGGCTAGAGGCCACCGGTTGGTTTTTGTTGCCATCGGCAATGTATGTGGCCGGTCAGCACTCTTTGTTGCCGGTCGGCAGTCATTTTTGTCAAAATGACATTTTTGGCCAGCCGACTACTGTTAATCTGCTTTTGCAGATATTTTAGGACGGTTGTATGGCATTTTGTTCCCCTCCATACACGTGTATGGAGGGATGGCTTCCTTGTTAGCTTACCTTGTAAGCTTTACAAGATTGGCTCCTCTATAAGAGGAGCCCTCCTCTCCTGGCTTTAGGTTAGACATTTTAGAGATAAAAAATACAGAGAAGAGCTCTAGTTTTAGGGTTAGGGTTTGATACACATTCTCTCTCTCTTTTTCCCTCTTGTGTGTGTCTAGGTGCATTTGTGTCTTACTATTGCACACAAGCACATAGTATTACACCTTCCCTTGGCTACTGAGGTTCCAAGAGGTTGTTCTTGAAGTTCTTGGGTGGTTTTGAGCTTGAAGAACCAGCTGATCTGGTCCACCATTTTTGAGAAAGGTTCTTCAAAAGGGTGTAAAGAACTTGCCTTTATATTCCCCATTTTTTGCATTATTTTTTTA